AGCATCTGCAGTTCTTGTCCTCTTTATCTATCCTAGTAAACCTTTATTAAGCTCAAAGACTACTGACAGAGTTAAGTAGTTTCAGTTAGGAGTATATGTTGTTAGAACAAAATGTAATGAGGCAGCCTAGACTGCACAATTAGCAGGATAAGAGGCACCTGGGATGGATAAAGACCTGGTCTGGACCCTTCTTCAGGACCCATTTCTGAAGAAGGGTCCAGACCCAAAACATCAGCCTTCCTGCTCCTCTGATGCTGCTTGGCCTGCTGTGTTCATCCAGCTCTACATCTTGTTATCTCAGATTCTCCAGCATCGGCAGTTCCTACTATCTTTGTTTCACTAATATCCTTTTCAGGGAGGGAAATCTACCAGCCTTACCTAGTCAGGCCTACATGAGACTTCAGACTGGCAGCAATAACATGGTTTACTTTTAACTGCCCTCTGAAATGGCCTAGCAATCTACTCAGTTCCAGGGCAATTGGAATAGGCAATCAGTGCTTGCCAGCAATACCCACATCCCATGACTGAATTGAAATAAATACATTGGAAAATTAGCAAACCTTAAAAGATGCAGAAAGAAATGTATACAGTTGACTGAAAGTCGGCTTGTACAGCAAATACTTGTGTGGATTTTCTCGTTTTGATGGTTTCTCTGTTGATTCCTGGAGAGAAAAAAAAAGACAATTTACAGAGTTATTTGTTCTTTTGCACATTTTTGGAGATTCCACATTAGGCTATGCACCATTCCTGGTTCAGAACAATCTGTCCTCAGGTCTTTAATCAAAGCTGTTCAAAACCGATTTCAATAAAGAATCACATCTGCCCACTAAACATTAAAAATATTTTATGAACACCAATTCAAAAAAAACAAAACACATTTGTTGAAGTTTAAAAACACAATTTTCTTTAGCTGAAAGGATTGATAAAGGCCACAATGCCAAATTATGGCTCATGTGACTTGAGCCCACTTGCCCTGGGATGAAGGAGAATCATCATTTTTAAGACTTATTGAACAGGCCTCAATGAAACCTGAAGCAGCCACATTGAAACTACCTGCAAACCCTTCTGTACCCCTATTTCTGGCAGCTTCAGATTTTTTAGAGCTATTTTTCCCCTTCTTCAGTTACCCCTTTTGCACATTTCCACAGCATTAATTTGTACTCTGGTACCTCACTGAAATCAGTTCTGTTCTTGTGCAATTTTTGATGGCATGTGCTTTTCAGTTATGGAAGGTAACACAACCGACTTTTATCCTATCATGATCTGGCACTCGCACACATCTAGCAGGAAGCTCAAAGTCAGGAGCATAGATCCTGATTTACTTTCTTCTTCGCATTCCAGGTGAGTTAAAGACAACCGTAATCCTTAAAGCATATCTCAGTAAGAAATGGGGTTCAAACCAGGGATCCTCTGGTCTTCATTGCTCTAAACCAGTTAGTAAGTGTGAAACTCTCAGGGAAACTCAATATTTATCTACATAGTTGGCCAGAAGTATGGCAATTCACAGCTAAAGTGTCTAGTAATTCTGATGAGCAAGTGTATTTAGTAGATATTTGTGATTGAAGAGGGCAAGAATAAAATTAAAAAACTGTCTAGCCCGTCCACAAATATTCATCCTGTTGGTCATCAGTAAGTGCAATTAATCGTGCTGGTAGAAAAATTCCGTGTTGCTTTATAGTCTTGACTTCTCCTTTCAGATTGACTGGCTTGTGGACTCCGATTAGGTGTGAAGAAAAGAGTTAAACCAAATGGCAAAAAACCATTTTACCGTGAGCCGTTTCCAGAACAACTCGCCACTCAGCTGACATCTACCAAAGGACCAGTATCCCTTGTGTCTGTGTCATTTTGAAAGGCTGCTGTGCAACTGGACTAGCACTGGTGGTCTGGACTGCCCCTCACTGGCACCATCATGGAACAGCAGCCTCAAAGAAACACTGCTTATGTCTTATAGCTGACTTGACTGACACTCTCTTGTACATAGAACCCTATTCTCTCTCCCATTCCTTGCTTTCATACATTTCTTGTTCTTAGCCACGTCCTATCTGCTCCACACACATCAGGATAATACAGCACACTGAGCTGACTATGCAAGATAGCCTCCCCAGACTGGTCCAACCAGGAGAACTGCATCCTGAACTACCCTATACTCTGCATCATCACAGCCCTGGTTGAGGCACAAGCAGCACAAAACCTTCACTCCACATCAGAGAGTTGGGCAATGGTGTCAAGAGGCATGATTGCAGTGCACAGCCTTGTTCCTCAGTAACAATCTTGTAAAGCACCTGAACCTTCAAATATATCTAGTACGTGAGTGTGCTCCTGAATACAGAAGTTGTGGCAGCTCTCAGGGGAGCAGTACACAATAAGTGTAATACTGATAACAGATCTCTTGAACGTTAATGAACGGAACCCCTTTCTGTTGAATTTTGCAGTGTTGTGTTACAGCCCCCTTGGTAGCAAGGTGTGTGCGCTTGATGACACTCTGTACCTTGGGGAACCCAGCTATGTTACCAAACACAACCGCGTGGACTGGAGAACTGACCCCACCATTGGAAGAAATGAACAGGTGCAATTTTGCATAGATGGCATCAGTGACAGTCTTGATGCATTTCGAGGTTCACGACAAAGATCCCACACAGATTACCCAACATTCACTGAAAGGAGCCAGTGGCATAGGCATTCCACGGCCAGAGAGAGGATGGCCTCTGACTCCTACAGCCCTCAGGTTCAGCTCCAACATCTCGTACCATTCCATCACAGTGTCCTGGGATAGAAGGAGCCTGCGATGACATTGCACGTTGCTCATCTATAGGAAATGGAGTTAGGGCTGAAAATCTCCGGGCCTCCTGCTCACTCCATGCATCCTGAGGGATGCGGTAGCCGTGATATCTCCCAGAGTTATTTTCTGTTTGCAGGTAAAAAGACATCTGTCAAGTGGGAAGCGTTCAAGAGCGTGATGACAAGAGTTCAGAGGCATTTTGTTCCTGTTAGAGTGAAGGGTAAGGTCTGTAAGATTAAGGAACAATAGATGAATAAAGATATTGTGGTTCTCGTCAAGAATAAGAGAGTGTATCTTATTTTAGAAGACAACTTGGTTCAACTGAATCTCTTAATCAATATAAAGAATGTACAGGCATTCTTTACAAAGAAATCAGGAAGGCAAAGAGGGGATATGAGATAGCATTGGCAGATAAGGTTAAGGATAATCCAAAGAGATTCTACAAATACATTAAAAGCAAGAGGACAACTAGAGAGATGGTATGGCCTCCTAAAGATCAAGGAGGTCATCCTTGTGTTGCACCCCATAGGAGGAGAGAGATACTAAATGAATATTACTGTGGAGAAAGAAATGGAGTCTAGAGAATGCAGAGAAATAAACTTTGATGTTTTAAA